TTTAGATTGTTCTACATAATTGAGCAAGCAGCTGTATTGAATGGATTAACAGGTCCACTGAAATAGAATAAGAAAAAAGATATATTTAATTAAAATATTATTTACAAAATAAAATATGTTAATCAATTAAATGACAAGCAATATATACAAATGTGCAATTAATAAGCGCCAAAGCAAGAAAACATATTTATTATGATAGACAGCCTTGATGACAAGAACAACCTTCTCAAGTATAATAGATCGCGGTAATGGGACACGATACCTGTATGATATGTTCATGGTCAAAGTGATTGATAGGGAGTTACAGTTTCTGACAACAACGGACCATGATACGTATCAGCGAAGGACGGTGAACGAGCAGGTGGCACGGATGATGAAGATGAAATAGATGACCTACTTGAATTACTACTAGATGTACCAGTAATATTTTTTTTTGCATATAAAGCTTGAGATCTAGCTGATGTTGGCATTTCATTTATTGGAGGTACAAAAGATGAAACTATAGAAGGTGATCGCGATGTGGCTGGTGATATGTGTGATAGGAATTGAGAATTTGGTTGTAATATATTTGGTGAAATTCTACGGGATGGTAAAGCTGTAGTATTTGCAAGTTGTGTAGGAGATGATGATAATCGAGTAGGGATTTGTTTTTCTAAATCAGCTAAGAATTGAGCACGTTGTTGTATCTGTTGTCGAACACGATTAAAATTTCTTATACTTGATGGATAAGTATCTTTTCGAGAAAATGCACTACATGTCGTATATGATGGTGGTTTTAAAGATTGAAATGGAATAAATGAGTCATCTGAATGAATTGGTATGAGTGTCGAGAATGTTGATGGTTGTAATTCATCATTAAATAATACGCTATAAACAGGAGATATCTAATGTCGAATGTTATACAGTTATTAAACTCTCTTAATACGATCCCTCAATATTAAATTTCTTCTTAAACGAACTACTAGATGTGTCAAAATAAGAAAATTTTGTTTTTTTCTGGCATAAATAAGCAATAAAAGCGTCAGCATGTACATATAGAAGCTTAAATTAGAAAGAAAAAATTTACCGTCCAGTGGGAATTAATGGTGCACCACGAGATTGACCACCCATGGGTGATTGCATGAATGGAAGAGGTACACCAGTTCGACCGGCTACAGTCTAAAATTTCATAAATTTATTTAATTAAATATATTCATTTAATAGATAATCATACATTAGCAAGAGCGTGTTGAAACATGCGCGGTCCCGTTGGTATTTGTCGTGCTGGTGCATAAGATGGTTGACTCATTGCTACAAGAGGAGTATTTGTAACAGCAAACTGTTGATTTTGAGATGGTAAAACAATAGGATCATATGGACGTTGATAAAGCATTTGTGGACTAACTGATATAAACAAGAATATAGATATAAATTTATAAAAACAAATCTCTAAATTTTACTCACAATTAGATAACGAGACAAATTAGAAAGATATGGAAATGTTAAGATTAGTATTCTAGCAAAATACCATTACCAAAATGAAAATTTTGATTAGTTTTTACCTGAAAGAGCTTGTGGTGCAGCTGAAAATGTTTAGTTTTTATTTGAATGAATTTATATAAAATAAAGTCATACCTTGAATACTTTGTACAATTTGGGGTTGAATACCTTGTATGATCTGTGGTTGAATGCCCTGTATAATTTGTGATTGCATACCTTGTATGATCTGTGGTTGAATACCCTGCATAATCTGAGGTTGCATACCTTGTATAATTTGTGGTTGAGCAGTTTGAAAACCTGGTGATTGAATAGTTTCAATAATTTGTGGAGTAGCGGAAGTTATTCGAAGATATTGTCCTGGTGGTGATGTTTGTGGACTTTGAATAATTTGTAATGGTTGGGATTGAATTTGAGGTTGTGGTTGAATAATAATATTAGGTGACTGTTGACATGATGTTTGTGGTACACATATATAAGTTTGAGGCGATCTACATGCATTGGTTGTTACAGGACTAAAAGCAGGCATTTGATTGATAATTGTTGATGGTGTACTATCTACACATATATATTGTTGTTGTTGTTGTTGTGAACATGAATCTTGAATATAATTGTTATTGCATGTTGTATAGATATATTCTTCTGGTGAATTTGTTTCAGTACATAAGAGTATTTGTTGTTGTGGTTGTTGAGACATACAACCACATGAATTTGATTGTTGAAGTATCTAAATAAACATAAAAAAAGACTATGAAAATTATGAATAAATTTAAAAAATATTTAAGTAAGCATAAGTAGAAAATGGTTAAATCTTTAATATAGCTGTTCTTATTTTCATACACAAGAATTTGATGCACAATTGCTTATTGATGATGATGGACCACAACAACTATCCTCATAATATATTCGTTCCACTTGTTGAACACCACAAGGACTAGTAATTGATGGAGTTGATTGAGTATACATCACTGGAGGATAATTACTAACTTGAGTTTCATCTGTAGATGCTGCTCGTTGAGATACTATTTTATTCTCAACAGATTGTAGAGGAATATTTCCTTTACTTGTTTTCTATCGGATAAGTAATAAATTGATTAAAAGAGGTCGATATTCAGATATGAATATTATGCTTAACAAGAAATTTTTGTTTTTTTTTATTAACTTACTTTTTTCTGATCTGAACTAACAAAAACTGGTTGAGACATCTGATCATTTACTAACGAATGTTGCATATTATTATCACCATAAACAACTAAAGGCGATTGTTGTTCATTAATTGATGCTGCTTTATTATCAGTTTCATATGAAACTTTAGCTAAAGGATTTGTATCGTATATAAAATCTTTATCATTTGATATTTCACGATAAACGATAATTGGTTGTTGTTTTTGATCGATCTTTTTTGAATTTGCAATTATAATTTTAGATGAAGATTGATCGCTTGCTTGTTGTCCTATACTTTTAACTCGACGGTGACGATTCTGATGATGATGATGGTGATAACAATGACGTTTTCCACTAGTAGTAGTAGTATTATGATGGTGATGATGATGACGATGATGTTTATGTTTATGATTTCGTTTTTGTGCTGATGTTACAATTTCAGTTGTCGATGAATCTTTAGATAATTTTTCAATAGGCCATAATTTATTTTGTTCTTCTATTAATGGAGGTGGACTTTCGGTAGGTGCCTAAAGCAAGATATGATTAAGAAATTGTTTTTTTTTCTCTCTCAATGTAACGATAAAGCTTACAGAAAAATATGATGCACTTTGATATGAAATCATAGCTGGTTCAACAGACGGAGTGTTAAATCTTGTCTGTTCATATAAAAGCATTAAATGTGTTAGAGCAAAAGCATATACATATGACACTGAATCAATGATTATTCACTTACCGATGGTCGTGATCGTTCATCAACGTTTAAATACATATGTGGACTAGGTTCAATAGTACGATAATTATTAACTAAAGAAATCATATAGAAATTAAAGAACGTTTAAATTAAATCAAAAACTTACCATGATCGTGCTGTTCTTCTTTCATTTTTTGTGACTTCATCATTGTAAAATCTGTAATGAATGCTGATGAAGGTTGATTTATCGCCCACGAAGCGTATTTTTTCGACATAATTATGTATATGTGTCTATCTATATATATAGTTGATCGTAACGATTATGCAGTACAATTTATTGATGTATATTGATGATAAAAGAAAAATTTTATTTATAGTTATCTATTCTGACAAAGAAGAAAAAAGACATTATGAAGGTTATATAGATATATGTGTATAAATAATATATTAAAATGATATTTCATATGAACAACAAACAGTAAGAGAAGAGAAAAAAAATCGATTGTTATCAAGGTTGAAAACAAGTGTGTATTCAAATGTTTCTGATAGTATCTTTTCTTTTCCTGTCTTATTTGTATCATATGAGACGACCTATTATCATTATACGAGTAATACAAAACGATTGATAATGTAATCATTGACATTGAAACTATATGTTTGTATTATTAGTATTAATTGTTATGAAATAAAATCATAATAGTATCTTTTTATGACTTTATATTTGAACTAACCTTGTCTGAATATGTGCTCATCGATTTATTGATTATTAGTATAAATACATGTCATAAATAAAACGATGATAGTGTTCATCTTGTTTGTTGCAGTCTAGCGTAAAGTTATATTATCGATATATCTATGACATTGAGAAAATAGAATATCTCCTCCCTTTTATCTTTTGATACACCATCGATCTTGTTGAACGAACGAACAAAACAGATGAATTAAAAAAGTAAAATTGTCTTTTGTCTTCATCACTTCGATACAATTAATGTATAGTAATACATTAGTACGTTCATTTTTATCGATCAATATTGACCTGATTTACTTGCTCCTCTATCATCTATTCATTTTTTTTTTCTTCTTATCGATCAAATATTATCGTAGTTGTCATAAAAAAAAGAAGAAGAAAAACAAGTAAACATACAATATGTCTACAATAAAAAAACACATATATGTGAATGAACATTTCTACTAGATGTATGTGGGTAAAACTAACAAGAATATTTATCTCATTCGGAAATGTTTTTGTTAATTGCAATGTGTCCCCCTACAGTGCATTATTACTTTCTCTCTCTCTATATTTATTAATGGAGAAATCAAGGAAATGAATGTAGTGGAAAAAAAACAAGTTCAGTATATAAGCACAATCAAATATTTGCTCTCATTTATGGTAATGGCATCATTCCAATAACTAGCTCATACATAAGAATGAATCTTTCATTAGCAGACAAACGTATAGAACATATTATTCATTTAACGAATAGTATATTTCCATTAATTATTTTACCATTAGCAACAATTGGTAATATACTTTGTTTTCTTGTTTTTTTGTCGACCAAAATTTCAAAAACGTTTAACACGTACATCATCAATATTTTTACGTTTATTATGTATAAATGATTCAATTTTATTATATTTATTTATAATTGATGTTCTATTAAGAATTTATATGAAACCATCCATACGTATTTATTCAACACCGATAGCATGTCGTTTATATAAATTTATACGTTATTCATTTTTGGATATGTCAGCATATATACAATTAGGTTTAACAACTGATCGTTTTATATGTTGTGTACATCATAGATATTATTCACATTGGCGTAAAAAATATTATATATATTATTTATTAATACTTGCATTTCTTTCGGTTATATTAAAAAATTCATCATTTTTATCTTCATTATATGGATATTCAGTGATCAGTAAAAATCGTACAGTAACAAAATGTTCTGTTCAAATTCGAGCAAAACATTTTACACTATATATGGCTTATGGACAATCATTAATTGATGTTGTTTTTATAACATGTATACCATTTTTTCTAATCGTTTATTTTAATTCAAAAATTTTAAGAGAAGTATTACATATACGAACACGATGTTGGAGTACAATAACAAGATTTATATGTTTAACACCAGTACAAAATAAGGAATCAAATCGAAATCCAACCGGTATTTTAACATTTACTGGTGCTAAACGTCGTCGTCTTCATTTAACATTTGCACTTGGCTGTATATCATTTGTATTTGTACTTAGTACAGCACCTTATAAAATATTTAAAGTTATTGAAAGACATGATAAAGTTATGCGTGATCGTCATAAATATGGCTCATCAAAATTAGTGAATTTACAATTAGCGGAAGTTATTATTGACTGTCTTGAATATTTATCTTGTTCAACACCTTTTTTTGTATGTCTCACTACGTCAAGTATGTTTAGAGAAGAATTAAAACGAATGTTTAATAAAAGACATGTATAAAAAAAACAATATTGACTTGTAGATTGTTGTTTTATTTTACTTAAAGAGATTTACGAAAAGGATGGTATCAAATAACATATGATTCATAATATCAGTATAAAAGTATTGAAAAAAATATATAATTCATATCATTTGCTTTGATAAAAATGAGCGTAAAACAAGTATGTCTGTTCCAGATAATTACAATATTTATTATGACAGGTAAGATTTAATGATTAGGTTATAGCGGAAAGGTCAAAGTTTTCTAAAATTATGGTAAATATAAAATGTCTTAAAAATCATTTTTTTTGGACAAGTTGAATGATTGTTTAAAGCAAACATATTAAAAATCAAATTAATCC